CGCAAGCTTATGCAGTTTAGGCTTTGCTGTTGGGCATTGGCGGCGAACAGAGCGCGCAAGGGACGGCGTTTAATACCTAGGGAGGAGCGAGTATGCCCCTGCTGTAGCCATATGCCCCGGCGCCTGTAGCCCTGCCCCCCGGCCCCGGCCCCAGCCCCTGTATCCATACTGAAGATGAGAAGCACGTTTTGCTGGACTGTCCGGTGTACGACAAAATCAGATCTGGTCTAGATTTCCCACACTTCGAGCATATGAAGGCCGCTATGAAGTGGGAACCTGAATGTCTGGCAAGGATGCTGGAACGCATATGGTCCCACCGCACCTCTATCGTTCCCTTAGGTCGTTAGTATCCTTTATCACTTGCTTTGTCTGAAGTGCGAGGTAGGACGGTGATTGTAGGCGATCTGGCAGCCCTTGAGCCCTCGGCTCGTATTGGGCGGCTTGCAGGTACGGGGAACGCACCTCACGACCATGTAACACACAGACACACATGCACAATCTAATCGACCATACATGCTCCTTTTCTGCACTTACGGAGAGCTCTTTTGGATTCTTCTCCCATACTAGTTGGTCCAAATGAAATTTCCCACTTTTGCCAGTTCGGTTAGGTACCTGTTCAACAAGTTGCTAGGCCGTGCTAGGACAGGCACAACACACTTCATGCTCGTCATAGACTTGCCCAAAGTTTATCTTTGCATGTATTTCATTTTCACCAAAACAGTAATGGACGTCATGAATAGTCCCATAAGCAGCGCAAACGTCTTGCTCGACAAAACGGTACGCCAACGGAGGAATTGCAGGGAACGTCTCTTAGCTGGACAGCGATGGAGGATAACACGTAGATCAGCTATCAAGCCACATGACCTTGGTTTGCATAGCCGGTTTTAGATGATCGGCTGTAACGTTGTCGGTTTGTGGCAAGGTCCTGTGGTCGCATGTTTTACGTTTAGAACGTTACTTCACAGGCCTAACATATATCACTATGAAATTACTATATGCACAAACACCAGTTGATGCATCTAAGGCTTGTGGCGGCGATGTTTCGGCATTTCGTTCGCAACGTTGGAAGTGTCAGCGCTGAAAAATATCAGCTGCGTTGAACTAGCCAAAATTGAAGCATGAATATTTGGGTTCTTAGGAAAACGTGCGAGAGGCAGAATGACCGACATGGCTGATGGTCCCAAGACATGGAACAACCTACCGCCCCTTGGTGCTTTCTCGTACAGTTAATCAATGTCCAGTATGTACAACATACAAGGCAGAACCTTAGATGAAAATCCTGTGCTGCCCACTTGCTTTCGTCGTCCTGCCAGCACGGACAGCAGTTTCAACAGGGTTCTTCCTCAATCGCCTGACCAAAGTCATGTAAGACGCGGAGATACAGGCCTTAATCACCGTTCAGACTCGCCTCGGGCACAGCCGCAGTTGCTGTACGGAAACGCCACTTCACACCATGGGGCGCCTGCAAACTGGCTCCCAGATGAGGTCCTTGGCAGCGCCCCCTCTGCCAGCTCCGCCCCGACACGGCCATCGCGACCAGGAAGCGCTCCGCTGTGGACTGATTGCAGCAATTGGCCGTACGGACGGATTCCGAATCCAGTTTGTAACCTGCCCAATCACCCGCTGCAGCAACAACAGCAGCAACGACAGCAACAGCTGCTATGGCAACAACAACAGTGGCAGCAGCAACAGGAACAGCAACAACAGCTTCAGCCACAGCAGCTGGAAGTCCCACAGCAGCAAATCGCATCAACCAGCCGCCAGCTAGCTCAGCCGCCAAGCTGGCAGCAACCTCACGTCCCGCTTCAGGGGCCGCTAGGACAATCGCCTTACACACACGTTCTCCTGCAGGCAAGGCAACCCATGCGACCCGCTTCCACGCCGCTGACGTACAGAAGCGATTTAAGGATGTCGTACATAATGCCCTACATTCCGCCGTTGCCTGGCCACCGGGAGGTTTCGTCCTCCAGGGAGGTGCCGCCCAGCGCCGAGACCACGATACTGACGTGGCAGCACCACCTCGGCCAGTGCGACAACCAGATCCAGCGGAATCAAGGTTTTTCGCAACATCAGCAGCAACAGCAGCAACAGCAGCAACAGCAGCAGCAACAGCAGCAACAGCAGCAACAGCAGCAACAGCAGCAGCAACAGCAGCAACAGCAGCAACAGCAGCAGCAACAGCAGCAACAGCAGCAACAGCAGCAGCAACAGCAGCAACAACAGCAGCAGCAGCTAATGCAACAACAGGTGCGTCAGGGGCTGGCAAGCCATGCAGCGGAGAAGAGGGAGGATGAGGGGGTGGCAGCGCGAGGCCAAGGAGAGATGCGCGGGTGCCGACCGACCCGCGGCCAGCCACCGGGGTTCACGACCCTCCTGCAACCCGAACCCCCCCAGCAAGGCCTCAACAGGCCAGGGGGCCCGATCAGCTTTCCCGGTTCGAGCTACTGCGTCGGCATGACACCAGGGCAGAGCGGCCGCCAGCATGATTGCACACAACCTCTCCTCCCCGAAACCCATACGGACATGTACGGTCATGAAGTACGGATTAGGCGTGCGGATCGGGACGAAGCTTTGAGACTGCAGGCGCGGTTCCGGGAGTTCGGGCTGGCGTTGACTGCGACAACATCAGCCGAGCAGCAGCCACACGTGCCGCCAGCGCCACTGCTACAGCCTCGGCCAATGCAGGAACTTCCTCCGCAGTCACCGTCACCGCTGGCGCCACCGCGGCAGCAGCACTATTGGCCAGTGCCGTCGCAGCCGCCCTCGCTGCCGCAGCCGCGACAACACTGCCTCCAGCTGCAGCCGCAACGAGCCATCAGCCCCTTCCCGCATTCACACAGCCATTCAATCGCTCCATCGGAAGGTACCAGAATGGTTCCGGAGCCCACCCAGGAGGCGCATCCCAGCGCAGATCCACACGGCATCAGGTGAGCGGATCTGTGGGTCAATGGCTACCCGCTTGTAGGTGAGTACCGGTCGTACATCCTCGTAAGTACGACAAAGCCACAGAGCCATGGCGGAGGGTCTGCTGCGTCGGGGGCCCCAGGGGTAGCTTGACGCCCGTCCCAACCCCCAGTTGCCTATTGGAAAGAAAAGATAGCTTCTTCATCAGCCGCCTTCTGGTGCACTTCCCACATGAAAATATGGGCTTGTGGATTTTCGAGTTGACCTCCTACGAACTGACCTCCGGCTGGGGCTCCAGAGTCTACGTCGCCTCCTTCCCTCCTTCCCTCCTTCCCTCCTTCCCTCCTCCTCGCACCAGGTGTAGCAACGCTCCACGCGCACCACCTACAACTAGGGCGGCAGCAGCAGCAGCAGCAGCAGCAGCTAATACAGCATTAGGGAGCAGTAGCCTCACGCCGTGGCAGCCGCCTCAGCCCAGTCCCGTCCGCCCAACACCTCTCGGGGACCGTGAGCTACTGCAGCAGTTGCAGCAGCTAAGGGGGGAACAGGTTCCAGTATCTGGCCCTAGGGATTCGCAACCACGGGGAGGTGCGGCGGCGCCGCCACACCCGGACGACATCTTCATGTCCTCTCCTGGGCTGCTGTGGCGGCAGCAAGCGCTGCAGCAACTGGAGCTAATGCCGCCGCTGCTGCAGCCGCTAATGCCGCCGCAGTCGCCGCAGCCGATGCCGATGCCGCAGAAGCAGAAAAAGCAGGGGAAGCAGGGGAAGCAACCGCAGGAGAAGAAGAAACAGGAGGAGCATAAGAAGCAGCCGCAGAAGAAGAAGACGCAGGAGAAGCAAAAGCAGGAGAAGCAGCCGCAGAAGAAGAAGACACAAGAGAAGCAAAAGGGGGGGAAGGAAACGCTGATGCTGCCATCTCCGCCATCACCACCAGCGTCCCAGCAACAGCAACAGCAACAGCAGCATGAGGAGGAGGAGGAGCTGCCCCCTGGGGTCGGGTCACCTCCCAAGAAGTCCACTGTCAAGCGTGCCCGGGTCCTCCGGGACGGCCAGCTGAGTCTCATAGTGTACGGGTACGACGAGAAGGTGCTCTGGGCCCGCCGTGTGAGCTGGTTCATTCGAGCCATGCGGGGCGTGCTGGGAGACCGTTCCTTGCGAAGCAGGTGAGGCAGGGACCGCGCGCTCGCGATGTAAGTGCTGCGACATATGCGAAGCAGGTGACACTCGTGCCGGGGGAGTTTCCCGCGCTCGTGCTCACCCTGACCGCCCCTTTGTCTCTGTGAAGGCCAGCAGGGCGCCAGGAGGCGGCGGCACAGCTAGGAGCTTTGCTACGGGCGACTTGGGCGTCTCTACGCCGCCGCCCCGCTCATTTGCAGGAAACATTTTCTCGATTGTTCACTTAACGCGCTTGTATTTGATATGTGCCGCATATCAACCGGGCCTAACTTCCTCTGCCTCGCGCCCTGCCGCCGTAATAATATACCGTTTTCAGGTGGGGCGGCTCGGTGGTGGACTCTGTGGTCGGGACCTTTCTCACGCAGGTACGAGAATCTGCATGCGCCGTACCTCCTTGTCGCAGTGCAGCAAGATTGGCACATCGCTACTCATCAGTACCACTGCGGATGCTGCTTGAACACCTTTCAAAGCCCTCCATCACCAACTTTGGAGTGAAACCCTGGAGGTGTTTCCGTACCCTCCGTACTTATAAGCATCCTCTGCAGTCGATGATGCCCTCAGCGGACCCCCTTGCGGTGTTAAACCCCACACACACATAAAAACAGACATTTCCTTCACCTCACTTCATTAAATATTCCCACCACAGCTGAACTCAAACCTTCTCCCCTGGCAATGTCTGTGGGGGGTGGTTTGTGCCCGGGACAGAACTCCGCCGACGTTCTGTCCTCCGCGGCCTTTATGAACCTGGCCGCGGCGTTCCCAGGGCCCAGATCCCGGGCCTTCTTCGCCGGTAACAGAGCAGCGGCAGCGAAGATGTCGTCACCGCCACAGCTGCCCCATACAGCGCTTGAGTGCGGCGGCGCAATGCCGGCAGCGCAGGGCTCGTTGTCGTACTCATCATACTGGATCCCGGAAGGCGAAGACATCGTGGACTGGGAGGCCGTACGTACGGCACCTGATGAGTTGCTTGCGGATCTCATCAGATGCAGGTACTGTGCGGCTGAAGGTCATTTAAAAGAGGAGGCCCCCACCGCCAGATAGCTAGACGTCGCTAGCTCCCAAAACAGCGGCAGAATGGCATTTGCAAAACCGGCGTGCGTGTAGGGAGGAGCGGAAGAGCGCAGAGGTGTAAGCTGGTAGAAGGAAACTCTGGAGCATTGTGTGGGGGTGGAGGGGCGACGATCATTCCAAGTTTAAAGCCACCTTCCTATTCCCTTCCCCTCCCTGGACCTCATCCTCGCTCCCAGGGGAATGCACGTCATGTTGGCAAGACGAATCAAGGCTTTCCTCAATCAGGTGTACGATGAGACAACGGCGGCGGAGGCGGCAGCGGCGGAGGCGGCAGCGGCGGAGGCGGCAGCGGCGGAGGCGGCAGCGGCGGAGGCGGCAGCGGCGGAGGCGGTGACGGCCCAGGGCCCTACCGCCGACGCTGCAGACACAGCTGCTACAGCCCGCTCAGACACGGAGGCATCAGCGGTCGTACGGCAGCCCGCTGACTGCGCTGTAGCGCCGTCGACAGCGACAGTAGAAGTGGCGGAGGCGGGAAGCAGCGGAAGAGGCAGGGCGAGGGGCAGGGGCAGGGGCAGGGGCAGCAGGCGGGCAGGAAGTTCGCATAAAGCTGTAGTCCGGAGCGGCAGCCGCGGCAGTGGCAGCGTTGACGACGCTCCTGCAGCCTCGACTCGTACCGCTGCTACTGTGCCAGCAGCCGCATCTGTTGGGGTGGATGTCGGCGTCAGTCGCAGCGGCGGCGGCAGCACCACTGGCGGAGGCAATCACAGAAACACTAGCAGCGCTGCCGGGGAAGGGGCCTACGGCAGCCGTACGGGTCGCTCCACCATCAGCTTGGAGTGGCTGCGTAACGCCAACGTCGAGGAAGCTACCAAGTACGGCACTACGTATAATAATGTTGTGGTACACATGACCATGGCCATGCATTGTTCCAGTATCAAATCATTTCCCAGCCCCCGCTATGCCAGTCATCCCATGCTGTACCTCCCAATGATTTGCCGTACCGCGCGCTCTGCTCTCCGCGGTAACCCCTGCGCCGCCACCCATCCCTACCCCCACGATCACCGCCGCCGTCCCCGCCGCAGCCAATCCAACTCCCCAAACCCTGCATTGGCATTAACTGCTGGCCTCCTGCCCGGTACGACACGAAGTGATGACCGGGCTTTAGAAACCCTGAAGGCCTCCGTCGCATCGCCCGCTGGGGCCCCTTCAGAACCCCCACGCGAGTCCCGCGAACCCGCCTGACCCGAGCTCCCGAGCTCCCGAGCCCCTCGCAAGACAGAACACAACTACGGGAGCACCCGGGGACCTCCCGCCTCTAGCCGCACCCCACTATCTGCCCTCTTCAAACCCTACACTGCCATCTTCCATCGCACCCCTCCGTACACAGCTATTTGATGGCCGTTGAGGGGCTGGGTCGTAAGAGCGTCGCATGCATCGTGTTGCTGGCACTGCATGGAAAGGTGGGGGCCCTGGCGGAGTGAAGCGAAGTGCAGATGGGGGCGGCTGGTGGGGCGTTAGCATGGTTAGAGAGGGGGGGATTGTGTGAGGGGGGGAATGGCAGGGTTGCGTCCCGTTCCATGACACACAGCCTTAGCAGAGGAAGCCAAACGCATTTCTAGCCCCGGCGCCACACTTTGCCTGCCTTCCTTTTACCAATATTACTTTTGTTATTATCACTACTCCCTCCACCATAAAAGTCAGTGAGACCGTTTAGATGGTGGAGGATCCAGCGCTTTGCGTAACGGTGGTGACACACACTTGTTGGTGTTTCGCAGGCAAACGTTTTCCGAAGTTACGTGAGATAGAAAACTCGCTGTTTCGATTTTGTGTTTCCTCTCACGACAGGAGTTCCCGGTGGACATCAATGTCGCACGTGTATTTGCTCGACTGGGGTGGATCCCAATCGAGGTACGTACGGCAAATGTTGTAGAAAGTCGTACAAACGGGATAGTACGGTGCACACATCACACGGAATGCAGCTCTACTCATGCACATCTGGAGTTCCTGTGCGCCCTGCGCGGGGAAAGGGGCCATTCGTCCATTCGCCGAAGCGGTCCGTAACAGAGCAGCACGGTATTGCTGGAGACCGTGTACCCCTCCGGTATTACTGGGGGTATTGTAGAACACTTCAGAATCGTCCAGGACCGCCAGAAGCAACTCCATTGGCCGGCATGTTCACGCTGTTACATCCCCTGCCGTACATGCACCTGCCGTACCTGGCACCTCAGGCGGAAGCTACTCTGGAGCAGTTGGATTCGTACCCCCAGGAGCCCGAGGTGAGAGAGGTGTCGTACGAGTCGGGGTGAGGGTGTGGAGGGATGTGGGCCAGGAGGGATAAGTTTAAGAATTCAGATTGAGGTCGGAAGTAGGGGTGCAGCTGCGGCTGTAATCCGGACGCCTGTTTTTGAAAGCACTCCTTGGCCGCGCTACCTACCCCCTGACCTGTGTTTGGCCTCCCTCCCCCCCTTCCCCCTTTTCCCCCTCTTTAGGTTCACAAGTACCTGCGAAGCCGTCTGATGCACTTTGACCTGGAGACCCTGTACGAACTACATTACCAATCCATAACACTTGGCAAGGTACGGCTATGAGCCGTGTACCTCCGAGCGCTGTACAATCTACCGTACAAAACGTGTCATTCACATGTGGCTGACATAGCGCGCGATCCGCCATGTTATTCTGACGCGCTTGGCGGTATGCGGTATGCGGGTTTGAGCGGGGCTCTTGGAATGATGCCTCGTGTAACGGCGCCACCCTACCTACCCTCCTCCAACCCGCAACTATCTCCCCACAATTAGCTGTACCTGTACGCGGGGTGCATGACACATCCTCCACATCTGTTGCATCGCATGCAGCTACCACGGCAGGACTGCTTTCAAAATGGATGACGGACTGCCCGTACACAACAACATTCCAGTTGATGCTAATTTGATCCGTGATTTACTGCTTCCCTGCTCACATACATACATACATACAAACACACACAGGTATTTTGTCAGAAGCGAGCCCCCAACTGCGGTTGCTGTCCACTGGCGCAGCAGTGCGACTACGCGCTCCAGGGAGGGCAGCGACTCAAGGTATGAGTATGCATGTATGTATGTATATGTGTGTATGCATGTATGTCTGCGTGCGCGCTGTGAATGGTTATGTCATTGTTGGGGGAGTACCGACTTCCCCCCGGGGGCCACACCGCCGGCTATACCCCGGCTGCACAAGGCCGCAACACCGGAGGGAACTGGGGGGGGGGGCGACGGCCCGTGCTTCACCTACCCGCTCTACCCGTTACCCGCTAGCATGTGTGTGTGTTACATGGTTGGGGGTGCGTGACCCCATACCTGTAAAACTACCCATAC